CTTCAAGACTGTAGTCGAGTGACATCTGCTCTACAAACATCTGAAAGGCCCTCTCCTTTCACTGTGAATCTCTCTTCTGTGGCATTTATGCCTTCCTGCCTCGTTTTTCAGTATATGTATTAACTTCCATATTTGAATGTAATTTCTTTCAGGATAAGACCTCTTCCTGATTCATATCTCTATCTTTCACAGTAACCTAAAGGTACTCAAATAGAAGAAAACAGGAAAAACAAAAGGGAGGAATAGAAAGAACAAAAACAGGAAAGACAAAGTATACTGGGAAAGAAAGAGGTGGGCAACTGTGGTAAGACCTAGACATAGTGACCGAAAATGAGTGAAAGAGACCATGGAGGGTCAGGCCAACCACAGACAGGGGACAACGGAGCAGACAAAACATATTGAATGGAGAAAAAGAGGAGGAGGCTGGGGGAAAGAGAGGGAGTAAGGAAGTAGGGGGTGGGAGAAGCAGGGGAGAAAGGGAGAGAGGAGGGAGGAGGGGGAGGAAGAAAGAGGGAAAGGAGGGGAGGGAGGGGGAGAAAAACAACTTAGAAAGACACCAAGAGATAATTAAGTGCTGTAAATTCATACAGAATGACAACATGGCCTGAGAGTACAAAAAACTGTCAATATAACAGTGATGTAGCCAGCTAAATCATAAACAATATAAATAATTTGGGTAAGTACAAATGAGCACAAAGTTCATGTCACAAATAAACAAAAATGATGATTTAACAAAGCCTGATTAATTTTAAAAAGAGTAGAACCAACATAGCCAGAGTGGAGATTTTTGTCAAGTGAAATTGTGTAAGGTGAGGTAGGAAGTACGTTTTTTCAAGGGAAATAGTGAAAAAAATTAGGTAGAAATCGTTTGCCTTTCTAAGAAGATGAGAACAGAGTGTTTATGGAGGGGAATAACATTTTTAAATAAAGTTATTTTTAGCTTAATAAATCTAGAAGAAAATAATACCTAAGGCTACAGACCATTAGAAATATCCAGACTAGAAGTAATCTGGACATGTACAAAGAACTACAAATCATTAAGAATCATTCAAAGTAGGCAAAAGACAAAACAGTACAAAAATAAGAAGTCTAACAGTATAAAGGGTTAGGAACTGAGTATTACTTAGAACCTAGCAATTCTATTCCTACTAATATTTCCTAGAGCAGAGCTGTTTTCACACTGAAGATGACTCAGTTGGAGGATTATGTAATCAATTTATTGAGGCATCATCAGCATTTTTAAATGAAAAAGAATAAAGAACATTCCAGTGCATCACTATATACCAAAATTTAAAGGGTAACACTGTCTCACGAAACTTCTGTTTCAGGTGTGTGGTGGGAGAGAGGTGTGTGTGTGTGTCTCTGTGTATGTGTGTGTCTGTGCACACGCACATGGGTGTACACAGACATATCTGGTCACAGTAAATGTCTCACTGTGAGACACAGTCACATGAAGTTTGAAAATGACAACTCTATTGAAATCGTTGCCTTTGAGCACCTGAGTTATTCACAGAAGTGAAAATGAATGAAGCAAATCTATATGTGACACTAAAAAAGAATCTCAGAAACAAAAGGTTTGATGAGGAAAAATTAAGTAACAGAAGAGTCCACACAGTACAATGCCATTTTCATAAAATATAAAAATAGGCAAAATGAGAGAATATATCATTGAGGAATACTTTTTTTTAAACTTTTTTGAGAGGGGAATGTAAACACAAATTCAAGATGGCCATCAGGTTTAGCCTGCACTGGTGTGCTGGCAGTAAGAATGAGAACAAAAGGATTAACTGGAGGAGTGACAGAAGTGTAACAAAGGAAAATAATCATTTAATTCTATTTTCTGTTATTTCACTCATTAACTCCTGATTCCAGATATACACACATATTACACATTTACCATTTCTAGTTTAGACATAAAGAAAAGTTTAGAAACTTTCCTGAGTTTACACAACTAAAAATCACTATAAATCAGAATTCAAACCCAGGACTATCCTGTCTCTAAAGCTCATGTTCCCTTCATTACTTACACAAATGGAATGGTGACTGGATGTAAATACTTAGTAATAGATGCTCAGAAACTCAAAGGTACCTGAGATATCTCCTAGTCCAACCCTTTTGTTTTTTTGGATAGAAAATTCTAGGAGACTAGGCTCTTGGCCCTAGCCTAGGACTTCAGCAGTTCGCAGGCATTTCGGTCTCAGGATCCGCTACACTCTTACAAAAGTACATCCCCCAAACCTTCTATTTATATGAGGTATATCTATTACTACTTATCATATTAGAAATTAAAACTAAGAAATTTATAAATAACTCATTTTAAAATAGTAATTCACCCAATATATGTTAGTATAAGTAATTTTCAGTAATGTTTTCTGAAAAATGATTATTTTTCAAAACAAAAACATAATAATGAGAAGAGCAGTATTACTGCAGTTTTGCAAGTCTCTTTCCATTTTGGCTAAATAGAAGATGGCAGTTCCTGATATCTGTTTTTGTATTGAATCTGTTGCATTATATTGCTTTGGCTGAAGTACATGGAAAACCCACCCTCTAACTAGGTAAGTAGCTGGGAAAGGAAAACCTCACCATTTCCTGAAATGGTCTCTTAGGCTCCCAACATCTTCAGGCTGTGCTTCAAGACATTACTGCTCTAAAGGTTATACTCCTCTAACCATTCTTCCTAAGGACCTGACAGCATAAAGCATATGCAAAAGCACCAAATTAACACATACTATTTAGAAAATTTGAAAAACCTAATTTATACAGGTACTTCCTAACCTAGAATTCTCCGGGGTATCTCTGAAATCCAATCCAAATCATGTGAAGCCAAAACTCAATCCTGTTTTTCTTCATGATCTTTTGTAAAGAGGAAAACAATACTAGAAGAAAACCAGTGCAGACTGCAGCAGCCCACTACAACAGAAACCAGATCAGCTGAGCACCGGCACAAACTAGAATAAGTCAGACAAGAGGTGGCAAAGTGTTTATGTAAAGTGTCAAACAGTAAATGTTTTAGGCCTGGGGGGGCCACACAGTCTCTGTTGCAAATACTCAATACTTATAGCATGAAAGCAGTCATAGAAAATATATAAATTAACGGGAGCGGCTGTGTTCCAATAAAATTTTATTTATCGAAACAGGTCAGGCCAGATTGGCCCTCAGGCCATGCTTGGCTGAACTCTGCCTTAGACTAAACCGGTCAGCTAAAAAATGTAGTGACTAAAAGAAAGCCATTTTATAAAATCACACCTTTGTCCCATCTAGCACTGGATTATTCTCAAACATAAATTTGTATGGTAATATCTTCTGATCTAATGTATCTTTGTAAATCCTCATGATAGGAACACACCATTTCTCACTGAAGGAGGAGACAAAATGAGTAACTCTTAGGTGCCTTCAAAGAGCTAAAAGTTATTCAAACAACCAAAAACATATATTTAGAAAATGACAATATATTCCAATAGAATGGCAAAATATTCCAGAGTAATAACTATGATAGTCAGTAAAATAAAACATTTAAAGATATATCAAATTTATCATTTCTATTCTTTATGCCTTCTAGTCAATTTATAATGAATGTTTATTTAATTATATTCCCTCTGTGAATCTATAGAAAGTTCTTAAACATACAAAAAGCACAAACCATAAATAGAAACTAATAAATTTTACTACATTAATTATTTGAGATGTAAAATTTCCTCAGAATACACAAACATAAAACTCCAAAAATAAATAGATCAGGAATAAATTGGCATAAGACATTCATAAACAATACAGCTAACAAAGGATTAAGACCAAGAACATGAAGAACTCCCACAAAACAATAAGAAAATGCAAATTAATATTATGGAGACATAGCATCATCAAATTTGCAAAAAATTTTAACTCCAGCCATAGCAAGTGATAAGGTAATATGGGATAATACATTACTGGAGAGAATGTACACTACTACCACTTTGAAAAGGAATTGCATTATCTTATTATGTTCAACATCTGCATCTTACAAATCAGCAATTCTATTTCCAGGAAGATATTTTTCTCTAGAGAGAAACTTCCCAATTCATACAAAATGCATCAAAAATGCTCATCAGCTTGTAAATGGATAAAGTCATACCATGGAATACAATACAACTGAAAAAATGAGCACAGCTACATTGGTCAATATGGATAAATCTAAAACAATAAGTAAAAACAGCTAGTTGCAGAAAAATGCCTTTAATACCACTTATATTGACTGTAAACATGAAATATAAAATTCTTTAGTGTGTGTTTATGTGTATGTGTGTGTAGTTAAAAACACACATAACACAGACATAATGAAAACACCAAACTCAGGTAAGCGGGGTAGGAGAGACGGGCTAAAAATGGTAGACAAAGCAACTGGGATGGGGAACCCAATTTCATAAACAGTACTAGGTACATTATTGCTTATACCTTTTTGTATGTATAGCACATTTCATTAACAATTTTAAACAAAAGCTATACATAAATAAGTTAACCCTAGCTTGAGTTTTTCAAAAAAAGAGATTAGTAGATTCTCCCAAACCAATTTAACTCACTGTAACATGAGAAAGGGCAAAATTAGCCAGAGCTTTTCTGTTTACTCAACCAATTTACGTTACTAAAATAACTTCCCATCTTTGAATATAGTGCGCCACCTTGTGTTCAAAGCTTCAAAATACCATAAAATTCAGAGAACCCTTGCTTGAAAATGGCTGCTGAAAATATAAATTCCTTTACTCTGGATTATGAGGTTTCACTTTATTAACTTGAGCACACGTGAAAATGGTATGTGGAGAAAAAAACTATTTTGCTTCTGAAGAAGTTGGAAATACTTCATATTTTTTAGTCATTCCTTTTTTCAGTTGTTCATTTCACTACATTTCCACAGAATAATCTGCATTTTTCCCATATTTTAAGTATATAAAATATGTTAATGAATAAAACTCAAAATTATAGACATTTAAAATTCTGAAATACACTTTCATACAGAAACTTACCTTTGAATGTGTGATTGATAAGGTGTCTACCCACACACGCCAGCCACCCCATTCGTATTTGACTGCATGGTAGAGTAAGATTCTGAATATGGCATATACCATTTCTGTTATCTTCTGCTCATCTGAATTCTTAGGATTAAAATAGCAGAGAGAAAGCATCCACTCTTGCCACACAGAACACTGCAGCAAGCTCCTGAAAATTATAAGAGGATACCGAATTACTTAAAAAATAAATCACCTGAAAGAATTCTAAAAAGCAAAAGTTCAAAACAAACAAAAAAACAGCTTTATTATGTATTCAAAACAATTCAAGAATGTGGTATTAAAAACCCAATTTGACTGTATGGTACATTACTTGCATAACCTTAATGAAAAAAGCTTCTGGAAAATTGATTTCATACTATTCTTAAAGAAATTTTTCTTAGAAAACATGGGCCCATTCAAAGCTAGACTTGAATATTGCAAGTAAATGCTTTCTAGTCCTGCTTACCTTCTGTTTTCTCTGCTGTTATTAAAAAGTTTAATCATGTCAGAAAGAAAGGCTCTGCGAACTTCCATGCTCTCTGGACACTGGGGAGAATTTCGAAGTAGGGTCGCAATTACTTTTAATATCTCTGTAAGACAATCAGTAAAATTCATAAATTAGTAAAAACCAAAACACTACAAAAAACTTCATGATGGAAGATCACCAATATATTGCAATTTCTTTCATTTCTTTGACATGTTTCCTGAAAACATCCTCTTTTGTTTTATAAACTATCATCTGCAGACAAGACTGATAATACATTCATTAGAAAACATCTGTAAACAAGAAAGGGATTTTTAAATTTCATCATTGGAATGTGTAAAGTTGAATTTTAAAAGATTGTTATAAATCAAATTAAATTATAAATGAATTAAATGATGGTAAAACTGCTGACACCCTCTCCCTAACCTCTGCCAGTGAGTAAAGCTGATCTATAGAAAAAAAAAACAAACTATAATTAAAATCTCAGAAAGAGAATAAATTCTCAGCTTCTTCAACAAGATTTATAATATGCACATATTCTTTCATTATCATGATTTTTAAAAGCTGTCAAGATTTTCTTCCATAATTCTAAATGTTATACTAGATATTAAAAAATTCAAAAGAGAATTAAAACCTATTCAACATCCCGAACAAACACAGATAAAACTGCTGTTGTAATGGTCTTGAACATAATGCTGTCTAAATTTCTAGTACTAAGCTTTAAGAATAGAAATTCTATAAAATATATAGATACCAAATTTTAAAGAAACAAAAACAGCTACAACTTGAATTTAAAATTAAATAATATGTCAAATTCCCACCCAAATAAAAATTGAGGAATTCTAAACTAGCATTTCCCAAGGTTTTTGGTGATTCTGAAGCAACAAGTTCAAAATATCAAGTTTGAACATACTTATCATAAAATTCATCATATTTTGGTAGCAATTTCTGAATTCTTCTAATGACAAATTCAAATTCTCTCTACCTGAACAATGATTACAATGAGAATGATAATCATAGTAATGAAAGTGATGATGATGGTGATAAACACTAAGTTTGAGAATATACCTTCATGTGACACTGTTTTAAGAAAATACAGGTATTAACACATTTAATCCTTACACAGTGATAGCGAGATACTATTATTATCCTCATTCTAGAGATAGGAAAACTAAAGCACATTGAAATTAAGTAATTTACCCAGCCACTTAACTATTAAGACATGTAGACAAGATTGAAAAGCCAGACAGCCCATGTTTTTAAACATCACATTATACTGCCTATCTTTCTAAACTAATACGTTACATAGATTAATATATTTTAAAATTCTTACTTCATTAAGTCAACTTTCCCAAACTACAAAAAAAATTTTACATTATATATATAAAATCAAGGTATTTTTTCTTTTCTTGCTCTCTAAAATATCACATCTCCCTGAAGGCTGAGAAAAATTAAACTTTAGACATACATGTTTTTAAAACAAACATGAACACAATTCGTCACATAAAAATTAAATTTGTAAACCCTACAAACCAGTTTTTTAATGTCAATAATCTTAAAAGATGAAAAATGTGCACTGGTATATAAGCTTAAGAATTCTAAATATCAAAAGAAAAATGGTTAACCAAAACTAAATTCATAAACAATAAAAAAGATATTTTTTAATTCCAAACTTGATACTCTTAGATTGACAGTAATTTAAGAAGAAAGCTACCTCCATGGTTCATGTAAATACTGCAATCAAAACTTTACCAAAAACTGAATATAATTAAATCAAGATCTTATGCACATAATTCTTCAAAAACCTCTGTATATAAACATTTCCTCAGAACCTAACGGCAATTTGAAGTTATACTCAACATCAAACACAAATAAAACTAGTATTATATTAATGCTTGTAATGAAATATTATTTGAAAAAATGTGTTTTCAACATCAACTTAGGTTTTTCAATGACTTTCCTTTTAGTAGCAAAAGGTATTTAAAAAAAAGTGTAAAAAAGGATGGGAGTGGGAGAAATGGGTGAAGGTGCTCAAAGAGTACAAACCTCCAGTTATAAGGTGGGTAAGTTCCAGGGATGCAATGTATAAGCCAGAGACCACAGTTAATACTATATTGTGGATTTGAAAGTTGCTAAGGAAATAGATCTTAAAAGTTTTCACCACACATTAACACAACAAAAAATTTACTATGTGAAGTGATGGACTAACCTTATTGTGGTAACCATGTCACAACATAAACATGTATCAAATTATTAGATTGAATACCTTAAAATTACACAATGTTATATGTCAACCATATTTCAATAAAGCTGTAAGAGCAAAAAGCAGGTATCAAAACAATAAAACTATATTAAATACATACGAGGATTTTGGATCTTTACTGAAGAATCAGGATCTGGATGCTGTTTATGTATTACTTGAGTACAAATCTGTTCTATAAGAATCTACAGAAGTAAAACAATAGATTGTATTAGCTTAATCACTACTAATGAACTTTAACACAACACTAATCAACATTAAGTATACAGTCTAATGATGTCATGTTAAATATCTTCTACATTATGTAAAACAAATAATTTCATTATAGCTCTATTTTTACTTAATTATAAAATGAAACATCAAATAGTCAATATAATGGAGAAAAATACTTAAACAGAGATGTCCACACTGTTTAATAATTCACAGACTAATTTATTTAGATGCAGCCACATTTCCTTTATATAACTAGTTTCAAAATTGTGCATCAAACGTAAATGATCTTATCGCATCTAGACACTAGCAGCTCAGTTATACCAGTATTTTCATTATAAGAAATTAGTAAGATAAAATTCTAACTACATTCCTACCTCAAAAAGGACATTATATGTGGTCATTGTGATTAAATTTGTCTGAAGCATGAGTCTTTCAGCTAACAGTGAAAACAATCCATGTCCAAGCATGACTTCAGCTTTTCTTCTGCAATTAGATAGAAAAAAAAAAAATCAAAGGTAGAATTTTATTATTCATTATTTAGTATGCACGTTGACAAAGGAGGCACAAAAATGTTCTAACATCAACAAATTTCAACTCAATAACACTCCCAATTTTCTTCAACCTACAACTTACAAGGCCACAAAGTCTTTAGAGAAAGACACACTACAATACAGGTGCAATGAAGGGTGAAAAACATACAAGACTGGCTGTGCCGCAGCACAGCAAAATCTCCATCAAGATCTTCAGGGCAACTATTTACTTATCAGCAGCTACTCGCTCTCAGCGCTGAGCTAAGCTCTATTATAAATAATAACCTAAAGCCCGATAAGTAAAGTTGAAAAACAATACAGAAGAAAAGGTAGAAGAAATGTAAGCAAATTTTTTAATGAATACTGTGAAGATAAGTACAGTAAAATTAAACTTTCAGGCAAAAATTTAAAAACTGAAGGACCACAAACTTAATTCTACTCCTGGATTTGTCTAATTTTTTCTGCAAATGACTGGATATTGTATGCTTTAGGCTTTGTGGACTATGTTTCCTGCAGCAACAACTCAACACTGTTGCTGTAACATAAAAACAGCCATAGATAATAAGCAAATAAATGTATCTGTGTTCCAATGAAACTTTATTTACAGTCAGTCAGCTGGATTCAACACAAAGACTGAAAGTTTACCAACAAATTTCTACCACCAAAATTGTTAATTATTATAATAAACTAATCCTGGTATAAGGAATAATTGATAAGATATGAATGCCTACATTAAGCTAAGAAAAAAAAATGTAAGTTTCGGTTTTTAGTTATATGTATAGCAGAACAAACTATGCGGCAAACATTCAGGTTAACATGTCAGCTTTATACAACAGATAAAGCAAATAATCAAGCCATTTGAAATGAAGTCCCCATGGTACCTATAATTCTATGTATACAAATGTATTCTCATAATGAATAAAAAAAAAAAAGGAAAATTTAAGTAAAAACACAAACCATATATATACTCCTGTTCCTATTTTATTTTTGATAAGTAGAAATAGGATTAAATTTATATAGCATTTTATGAATAAAAATAAAGAGAAGTGAGAATAGAGGAATCACATGATGGAAATATTATTCCAAAGATTTTTAAAATAAGTAAGTAACATACATATTCTATTTCAGATTTCATGCATACTTACTTCGGTGCCAGATGTTTTAAAAAATAACCCATTGCCTTTAGAGCTTGTACTCTGATTCCTTCACTTGTTGATGCCATCAGTTTATAGATAACACTGAATAAATTAAAATTAAAAATAAATTACTAGATTTTTCAAAAAGTATCTAAGATATATATGTATATATATGTACATTTTTCATACAGTCACATAACTATAAGCCTAACTTCAAGTATGAGTGACTTTAATATACATTTCTGATGTTTAAAAACTTGCTTATCAATTGCATGTTGTCTTCAAGAAATCCACTTTTTTTTGGCTATTCTTTTAAAAATTTTTCCCCTTTTTTTTAGTTGAAGTATAGTCAGTTTATAATGTCAATGTCAATATCAATATAATGTCAATTTCTGGTGTACAGCATTATACTGGAAGTCCTAGCCATAGCAAGAAACCCAGTTTAAATATAAAGTTACATGAAGATTAAAAGTAAATGAATGGAGAAAAATATACCATACTAATACTAATCAAAAAGCAAGTGTAGCTATATTAATTTCAGACAGAGAACACTTCAAAGTAAAGAAAGTTACCAAGGATAAAGAAGGGCATTACATAATGATAAAGCGGTCAATTCTCCAAGATGATATAACAGTCCTTAACATGTATGCACCTAACTTAGAGCCTAGAACTATGGAAGGCAAAAACTGACAGAACTGCAAGGAAAAGCAGATGAATCCATTTTCATAATTAGAGACTTCAAAATACCTTTCTCAGAAACAGATCCAGCAGGCAGAAAATCAGTAAGGACATAGTTAACCTCAAAAATACCATTAGTCAATTGAATATAACTGACATCTACACACTACTTCATCCTACAGTAGCAAAGTACATATTTTTCTCAAGCTAACATGGAACATTCACCAAGTAGACCACATCCGGGGCCATACAACTCCTCAACAACAAATGTAAAGACTGTAAATTATCGCTCTCAGAAAAATTTGCTCTTAGATCACAATAGAATTTAATTAGAAATAAATAACAGAAATAAAGCTGCAAAATGCCAAATAATTGAAGATTAAACAACATACTTCTAAATACAAAGAAGAAATCTCAAAATAAAGAAGTATTACACAACATTGTAAAATGATTATAAATCAATAAAAAATGTTAAAAAAAAGTATTTTCAACTAAATGAAAATGAAAGCACAACTTATAAAAATCTGTGGGATGCAGCAAAAGCAGTGCTTACAGGAAAATTTATAGCACTGAATGCATATATTAGAAAAGAAAAAAGATCTAAAATCAATAACCTAAGTTTCCACCCTAGGACACTTGAATGAGAAAATTCAATCCAAAGTAAGCAGAAGAAAACTAGTAAGTTTTCAACAGTAAGAAATCAATAACATTTTTAAAAAATCAATAGAGGAAATGAACAAAACCAAAAGCTGGTTCTTCAAAAAGATCAATACAATCAATAAGTTTCTACTCAGGCTAAGGAAAAAAGAGAAAGTACAGTCTGTGCTTCTGGACTGTTGAAAACTGTGTTTAGAAATATGCTGTATTAAAATACTAAAATGACAGATTCTTGGTTTTCAACTAGGTTTTAACATTTCTTTTTAAATGATTGTGAAGTAAATACTCAGGTTTAGTATAAACTCTCTGCACATAATTCTTACATTAAATGTAGTTTATATAAGAAAAAAAGGACATAATTTACTAATATCATAAATTAAAGAAGGTGTATCACCACATGTCCCATAGACATATGAAGGATATAAAAGAATACTATGTACAACTCTATGCCCACAAATTCTATAACCTAGGTGAAATGGACCAATTCCTTGAAAGACACAATCTGTCAAAACATACATAAGAAAAAAATTGATGATCTGAATAGGCTTAAATCTACTAAAGATATTGAATAACCCCCCAAAACAGAAAGTACCAAATCCAGATGGGTTCACTGGTTAATTCTGCTAAACATTTAGGGGAAAAAATTATACCAATTCTCTACAATCTGTTTCAGAAACAGAAGGAATACTTCTAACTCATTCTATGAATCACCACTGCCCTACAACAAAACCAGAAAAAGAAATTACAAGAAAACTATCAATATCTTACATCAGACCAATAACTTACATTAATAAAAATGAAAAAATCCTCAGCAAACTATTAGCAAATCAAATCCAAAAAAGTCCAAGAACTATGTACCATCACCAAGTGAGATTTATTCCAGGTATGCAAGGCTGGTTCAACATTTGAAAATCAACTGATGTAATCACATAAACATAAGAAAATAGCTGATTATATTAGTAGATACAGAAAAAGTGTCTGAAAAATCCAACAGCCATTCATTTTAAAAACTCCAAATAGATCTAAGGATAGTGGTAACTTTCTTAACTTGATAAAGACTATCTACAAAAATCTGCAGCTAACATTATGTTTAATGGGAAGAAATTCAATACTTTCCCACTACAATGAAGCAAAAGGCAATAATGTCCCCTCTCACCATTTATTTTCAATATTGTACAGGATGTTCTTGTTAAAACAGTTAAGTAAGAAAAGGAAATAAATGATACACTGATTGTGAAGGAACACATAACACTGTCTCTGTTTGCAGATGACATGATCACTATGAAGAAAATCTAGAAATGACAAAATAAATCCTGGAAATAATAGGTGATTACCACAAGGTTGCAAAATACAAAGTTAATATAAAAAAGTCAATTGCCTTCCGGTGTGCCAATAATAAACAAGTGGAATATGATATTTAAAACACAATAATTTTACATAAGACTCCCCAAAATGAAATACTTAGATATATACTAACCAAAATACGTACAATATCTATATGAGGAAAACAATAAAACTGATGCATGAAATCAAAGAACTAAATAAGTGGAGAGAAAATCCATGTTTGTGGGTAGGAAGACTCAGTACTCTCAAGATCTATGTTCTTCCTAACTTGATCTATAGATTCAATGCAATTCCAATAAAAATCCCAGAAAATTATCTTACAGATATCGACAAACCATTCTAAAGTTTATAGAGAGCAAAAGCCCAGAATAGCCAACACAGTATTGAAGGAAAAGAACACAGTTGTAACACTAATGCTACCTGACTTCAAGATTTACTAAAAAGCTATAGTAATCAAGACAGTGTGGTACTGGCAAAAGAAGACATAAATAGATCAATGAAATAGAATAGAGAATCTAGAAACAGACCCACATAAATATAGTCAACCAATCTTGACAAAAGAGGAACACAAGCAAGACAATGAACCAAAGGTACTCTTTTCAACAAATGATGCTGAAACAACAGCACATCCACACCCAAAGAATCTAGACACAGACCTTAAACCCTTCATAAAAATTAACTAAAAATGGACCTAAATGTAAAATTCAAAACTATAAAACTCCTAAAAGACAACACAGAGGAAAACCTAGATGACCATGGATACGGTGACATCTCTTTAGATACAGCATCAAAGACACAATCCACGATAAAAAAAAAAAATTGGTAAACTAGACTTCATTAAAATTAAAAACTGCTTGGCAAAAGAACAGTATCAAAAGAATTAAAAGATAAGACACAGACTGGGAGAAAACACTTGCAAAGGACATATCTGATAAAGGACTGTTACCCAAAATACACGAAGAACTCTAAAACTCAACAACCAATTAAATTTAAAAAAAATTAGGACAAATGACTTAATAGACACCTTACCAAGGAAAGTATACAGATGGCAAATAAGAGTATACAAAATGCTCCACATTATATGTCATCAGGGAAATGTAAATTAAAGAAACAATGAGATTACCACTACACACCTACTACAATGGCCAAAATCCAGAAGACTGACAGCACCAAATGCTGGTGAGGGGAGCAACAAGAGTTCTCATCACTGCCAGTGGGAATTCAAAATGGTACAGCCACTTTGGAAGATAGTTCAGCAATTTCTTACAAAAGTAAACACTTTTACTATTCAATTCAGCAATCTCACTTCTTGATGTTTATCCAACAAAGCTGAAAACATACCTCTACAAACATACCTGCACAAGCATGTTTATACTAGCTTTATTCATAATTACCAAAACTTACAAACAACCAAGATGTGCTTCAGTATGTCAATGGATAAACTGTGAACATCCAAACAATGAAATATTATTTAGCCCTACAAGAAATGAGCTATCAAGCTACGAAAAGACATGGAGGAATCTTAAATGCTTATTACTAAGTGAAAGAAGCCAATCTGGAAAGGTTACATACTCTATGATACCAACTATATGACATTCTAGAAAAGACAAAATTAGCAACATAATAAAAAGATCAGTGGTTGTTGGGTTCGGAGGGGAGTGGGATGAATAGGCAGAGCATAAAGGATTTTTAGAGTAGTGAAAATATTCTGCGTAATACCATAATGATGAGCACATGCCATTATACATTTGTCCAACCAAGATGGAGTAATAAGCATAATATAGCCTCGTTACCTTGTGTATTAGAACTAAAATTATAGAAAAAAATATACAATTTTAAAAAGCATTTTCCTAACTACTCTGAAAACTGAACAAAAGCAGGTATATTGGTGCAGGAGACCTAATACTTGGAGATTACCCATTTTAGAGGTAAGAGTCTCAATCTTCACCTTTCTCTTATAAAACATGACCTAAGAATGAGTCCTTGGCTCAAAGCTGGTCCCTGTCAGACATTCAGGTAGCTCATATTCTGAGAAATACTGTCCTTCTGGTTAGAGACACTGAGAAAATGGGCACTTACAGGCTAGAGAGGGAAGGGGGAGTCCTAAAAATAAGCAAACAAGAGAGAAGGAACTTGAAAATATGTGTAAAAACCTGCAAAAGCCCTAAACTGACCCAAGAGATGCTCATGTACGGGACAGACTCAGACCAGAATATCAAGTCTTTCTAAATTGAAAGAAGATTTGAATTATTACCAAATTCTTGGCCTAATCCCTGAGTGGTACATGTGCAAGACTCAAAGCAAGACAAGAGAGGTTTTTTAAAATGAAGTGACATCAGAACCACCACCCACAAAGGGTATGTAGAACTTGTGGTCTGATCCTTCTTGCTGAAACAAAACAACTCAACATTTGTTAGTGAATTATAAGACACAGAATCTATAAAAGATAACACTTACAATGTCCTTGACATATTAAACAATACTGAATGTATGAAGAACCAAGAAAATGTGACTACTTCTCATGGGAAAATACAATGAACAGATGCTAATGAGATAGGCAAATTCTTAGACTTAGCACACAAAGATTTTAAAGAAGCTATTACAACTATGCTCCAGAAGGTAAAGGTAAATACAGACTAAATGGATCAGAAAATAGCATTCTCATAAAAAGAAAGAAAACATAAAAATTCACCATGTTGAAATTATAAAACTGAAATGTATAATAGTTGAAATAAAATGTTCATGAGATGAGCTCAATATGAAAATAGAAAAAGCAAAGAAAAAGTTTATAAATTTGAAGATCATGTTTATCACACATACCAAGTTTCTATATCAACAGAAAGTATCAAATCTGAAGAACAGAGAGAAAAGTGATTCAAAGAAACTAAAAAGAGACTCAGATTTGTATAAAAGCTCTAATATTCACTAGAAATCCAAATAAAAGAGAAAATATCTGAAACAAAAAAAAAATGTTTTAAGATAAGGGCACAGCTCAGTGGTAGAGCATGTGCTTAGCATGCACAAGGTCCTGGGTTTAACCCCCAGTACTTCCATTAAAATAAATTAAATAAATCCTAATTACCCCTCCCAAAATTTTTTTAATTAATTAATTTTAAAAATAAAACAAGGGCTTAAATTTGAATGATAGTAACAAAGAAAATGAAACATCAGGGAGTATAGAGGAGTGAGGGGAGACTAAAGAATATGTCCTGAAAGCAAGTACAAAAATCTAACATATTATATTTAGCAAAGAAAGAGTGGATTTAATGCAGATTTCTCCTTAAAAATCATGGAGGCCAACAGACAGAAAATATTTTAAAGGACTGAAAGAAAATAACTAGGAACACAGAATTCTACATGCAACAAAAATATTCTTGAGTGATGAAGGCCAAACAAAAACATTTTCAGAAGGAAAACTAAGAAAACATGCTTCCCTCAAAACTATTCAACAAGAAATGCTTCCCTCAGGAATGAAGGAAGATCCAAAGAACTGTAAATTTCCGAATAAATGTAAGTTTTTCCTTTTCTTAAATTCTTTAAACTACTTATTACAAGTGGAACTAAAAATTATAACATTGTCTATAGAGGCTTGTGATGCATTAGATGTAAAATGGAACAATGGTGGAAGTTAAAGGTATCAATGTATTTGCAAAGGTTCTGTATTGTATTTGAAAAGGTAGAATATTAACACTGGGTATACTGTGAAATTTCTGAAGTAATCATTAAAAAAACTACACAAAGAGATCCAAAACTAAATAGAAGTTTTAAAAGAATTCAAATACAAAGAAAAGGAGAAACAAAGGGGAAAAATTATACTGAGACAAATAAATAATTAAATGCTAGACGAGGATAAAGCCTTATCAAAAATTACATTAAAAGTCAAGTTGAAACACAATGAAAAGACTGAGTGACTCAGAGTAATAAAACATCCAACCATATACACTGTGTGTATTAGTCACTGTTTTCTATAGAAAGAGAAGCAGCAGGATGTGTATATATTCAGAGAAAGACTAATACTTATTTTAAAACATTGGCTCATGCAATTGTGAAGGCTAAGTACAAAATCTACAAGATTGACAAGTACTTTGGGAGACTGAGGAAAAACTGTGATTCAAGTCCAAAGGTATTATGTTGGCAGAATTCCTTTTTGTTTGGGGGAAGGTAAGTCTTTGTTCTATTAATACTTTCAACTGATTTGATGAGCCCTATCCATATTATGGGTTGCAACCTGCTTTACTCAAAGGCCACCAATTTAAATGTTGACTACATCCAAAAGATACCTTCCCCAAAATATCCAGAATAATGTTTGACCAAACATCAAGACACTATGGATGGCCCAGCCAAAATGACACAAAATTTGCTATCAGATTGTGTCATGAAGAAATTCAATTAACTATAAAGATAGAGATAAATTAAAAGAATGGGGAAAAAAAGATACACCATGCAAACCTAAAGCAAATAAAGCTGGATTAGAAATATAAATACCACACTAAGTAGATTTCACATCAAAAAAACATTTCTAGGGGGAAAAAAGGTAATAACATAATTATAAAAGCATCAATTCCCAAAAAGACAATTCTAAATATAGTTGTACTTAATATCAGAGTTAAAATACATGAAGCAAAAAAATGGTAAAAACACAAAGAAAGAAAAATAGAGAAAAACATAATTATAGTCGGAGGTTTCCATAATCATATCTCAATAAATGACAGAATAGGTAGACAAGGGTCAGTAATGGCACAACAGATCTGAAGAACACTATCAACTAAGTTAGCCTGCTTGACATTTACGGAATACTAATATCTACTAATACTGAATATCCAACAACATTAGAATACATGTACTTTTCCAGTGCATATGGAACATCTTCCCAGATACATAACCATATTCCAGACCATAAAGCAAGTATCAATAAATTTCAAAGGATTCAAGTCATACAAAGATCCTCATAGAATATGATGGAATTAGAATTCAAACATGATTTCTGGAACACACTTTCAAATTACAAATGGATAAAACAAGAAATGAAAAAAAAATTATTTTAAATTGAATAAAAATGACATTAAACTGAAGTGCTTAGGAAGAAATTTAAAGCACCAAATACCTATATTCAAAAAGAAAAAGAGTCTCAAAACAGTGACAATCAATAAATTTGATGAACCTCTGGTCAGACTGATTTGGAAAAAAAATAAAAAAGAAAAATTATTAGTATCATTAATGAGAGGTAAAAATCACTACAAGCTTTTCAGATATTTAAATGAAGGAACAACTTTATATCAATAAATCTGACAGTTTAGATGAAATAGACAACTCCTTGACAGATACAAATTTACCAATGTTCATCAAAGAAGAAACATAACCTAAACAGTCCTGTATCTATTAAGAAAATTGAATTTATAGCTAAAAAGATGCCTATGAAGAAAATTGCATGCCTAGGTAACTTCACTGGTAAATTTTAGCAAACATTTAAAGAATAAATAACAACAATTCTATACAAACTCTACAAGAAAATTGAAAGAGTAGGAGATATTTGCCAAATCATTCTGTGGGTTCAGGACTTACTTTTACATTTAAATCAGTAGACTGAGTCAAGCAGATTACCCTTTATAATGTGGGTGCTTCATCCAATCAGTTGAAGGCCTTAACAGAAAAGAAGACTGACTTTCCTAAAGGAAAAGGGAATTCTAGCAGACAGCTTTTGGACTCAAACTACAACATCAGTTTTTATCTGGGTCTCCAGCCTGCCAGCCTAACCTGCAAATTTTGGACCGGTCAGCTTCCACAATCACATAAGCCAATTCCTTAACGTAAATTTCAATTTCTCTTTCTCTCTCTCATATACATACACACACTCTACCATTTTAGTTGTGTTTCTCTGGGGATCTCTGAAAATATACTCCTTAAGAATAATGTATAAAAGGTAGGGAATAGCTCAGTGGTAGAACACCTACTTAGCATGCACAAGGTCCTGGGTTCAATCTCCAGGACCTCTACTCAAAAAAAACAAACAAACAAACAAAAAAGATGAAATAAAATAATTTTTAAAAAAAGGCAAGAGGTAAGAAAAAGAAAACAGGTAGCTATAGAAAAAATAAGGATAATGCTTAAAGTCATCTTCTCTTGGAGAGAGTGAGTATTGAAACGTAACAAGTAAAGAATCTGTAATAGAGGCTTAATGTAGGAAATTCATTACAACTAGATCACTAAATTAGTTACTGTAACTGATCGTCCAGCAAAGTAGCTATTAAATTTTTGTGGCCCCAAAACCTTCTCATTAAATGAAAGATTTAAAACAAAAGGACTCTTTTGCTGCTGCTGATTGTTATGGACTGAGTATGTGCTTCTCAATTCATATGTTAAAGCTCTAAGCCCCCCAGTGGCAGTACTTGGAGATGGAACCTACAAGAAAGCAATTAAGATTAAATCAGGTCATAAAGGTAGGTCCCTCATTGAATGGGATGAGTGTCCTTATAAAATGAGACCAAAGAGCATGCTCTCTCTCTTCCTGTCTGTGCACACACAAAGAAGTCATGTGATTAAACAGGAAACAGCTATCTGCAACCCAAAGGGAGAGCCCTCAGCAGACACCAACCCTGCAGGCACCTCGATCTTGAACTTCTAGTCTCCAGAACTGTGAGAAAATAAATTTCTGGTGCATAAGCCAACTGGACTAGGGTACTTTGTCATGGCATCCCAGGTAGACTAATACAATGATGATTTTGGATTGGTGTGGAAGAGGTAATATTTTAAAGGGATGATAAAGACCTTCTCTTGGCTCACAATTGAATCCTACTGTTCTAAAACCTAAACATAATGCTGCTGAAGAATTCAACATTACAACAGCTGTGTAACAGCACTAACCACACAAAACACTGGAACAATTTGCCTGATCTGTCCTCACATATTAAATCGTAACACAGCCTCTGTAATTAAAGATTTGTTCCAAGAACGTAACACATGAAATAAAGGGATCTTACATCTTAACTCATTTTATAAGATCCAGTAATACTTTTTATATCTAAAAATCTACCATTTCCAAACTAACCTCTTATATAAAACATATTAAAATTGTCAATATGTTAAACTCTTACCGTAACCCATTCCTTTGGTCAAAAGCAGGTATCATAGAGTTAGGATGTTCTGCCATTAATGCAACGAGCAGCTGCAGAACGTCCATTAGATTGTCATCCTAAAACCATTTCAGAATTTTTTTAAATAAAGAAAAATAACACAACATTGTAAAATGATTATAAATCAATAAAAAATGTTAAAAAAAAGAAAAATAACTTATTTGAACAATGGCTACTTCTTAAACAATAAAAAATTCAACTTTAAAAAAATAAGTAGACAAATAGACAAATATACGTGTTTTTAACAAACTAGTTCTTTACATATACATATTCATCTACATAACTCAAAATATACATCAAATAATCAGATAATTTCCTAATCAAAGATATAAAATGTCTCTTACATTATATTGTATCAAGATTTCCTAAAACATACTCTAGATACAAGCGATCTGACTTTCAGGTTTGGTTTTTTTTTTTTTTTTTTTAAAAAAAAGAAAGAAAGTCTATACATCAAGAAATTGGGCGAGGAGAAACCAGGTTGTTCTTTTTTATTACATATTACAGCAAGACATATTAAAGCCTTTAATATGCTAACAGATGTTGTGAATATGGTAGTGGTCTTGGGGAAAACACATTGTGTATCATTTCCTAAGCTTATTTAACTAGGACCACTTTCAGCACTGAGGCTGATAGCTGGATAGTTCTCATATATTATCTGTTGTCTGGATTAAAGATATTGATGATCAATAAATGTTTACTGAGTCAATATACTCTGTATGTGGTATAACTTGGTAACATTTGCAGAATAGCAGAGGAACACACGTGAGTTCTGAAATCCAGAAATTTCAAGAAAATCCTTCACAGGGAAGTGGGGGCAGCTGGGAGGTTATAGCACAGTGGTACAGTGCGTGCCTAGCATGCCTGAGGTCCTGAGTTCAATCCCCAGGACCAACATTATAAATAAATAAATAAACCCAATTACCTCCCCTCACCAAAAAACAAATTTTTTTTTTAATTCTTCACATTGAATAGTCCAGTATGCATGCATACCATTAGGGCCAACGTGGCAACACGAACCCAAGAAGTAAAGGGAAGCAGCAGTTACTCATCTCTGTTGCCACCACCTCCAGGTTTTCCTTCACACCTTTGAACTTTTACTGTGGTAGCTACCTGAATATTTAATTTTCAATATGCTAAGAAAATGATCTAGAAGTAAGGTACTGAGCCTTTGGAAAAGTGTTATTTCAAGGACCTGAAAAAATTCCTGATTTAATAGTTTCAAAGAAAACAGAAAGTCACTGTGACTTTCAGTTTCTGTCTTGTGAAATATTTTGGTTTCAGGGTCAGAAAAATCTAAAATTATATCCTACTCTAGACAAAAATGAAATCACAGTCATTAATGTTTGTTTCAAATATGAGTGAATCAAGAAATTTACCCCATTCTTTTCTGCCCCAATTAACAAAGATAGGTCCAAACAGTATCTCTTACCCATTAATGATTTTAAAAGGTACTATTTCATGCTGTAACAGATATCTGTAAACTCACAAGACATGAATTATAACATAGAAATGTAAGTTATAATATAAATGTTGTATTTTATATGAAATCAATTTCCAAATTCTACTTATTTAAAACACATTTAATCAGATAATTTATTTAGACTACATCTGGCATATTTTACATTTTCCCAGTGCTAAAAAATATTTCAACCTATTTATTTTTTAGCCTCCTTTTCAACCACATAATTTTAAATTGATTATAAATGAGCTATTTAATTTAACAGTATTTGAACATGCAAAATCAGTGGGAAGATGATGTTATAAATTAAAAAGTCCAATCATTTTTGGTCATTTTTGTTACCTATTTTTCCATTTGTTAAACTGGTTTCTGGAAAAATACTGAAAGTATTCTCTGGTTTACTTTATTATTAGGTCAATGAGATCTAATTTTAACAGTTTTTAAGTCTTTCACAATTATTCTCAGAGGAATTTTGTGGTATAAAGAATATTTAAATGAAGGTTCCTAAGATTTAGTTCCTAGATACATTTACTCTCCATTATAGTTATATGACTAATGAAAGATTTCTTTAACTTTTTTACTTTTAAAAAAAGCCCATAATGCAGCTTTAAAAAATAAAACCACAAATATAAAATTCAAATGTTACCTCATGCATAGTGAGAAGGTAATTAAGGATGGCCTGTAGCTCATCTTCCTTTACTCCAGAATCCTTTAAAAACATAATACAAGAATCTTACATATGGTAAGTTGCTATAAATATAAAAGATAATGTAATATAGAATGTAAATTTAAAATAAAAATTGGAGGAAGCACTAAAGACATGTCATATGCAAGACTCTGTAGAAGTCAAAGGAGATCTGACATCAGAATCCTGTTTTGAGCATCTTATGACATATAACCTATCTAGTAAAGCTACAGAATCTTGAACTAAGGAAAAATAATAATTAACAATAAGTAAAAGGATATTACTCACACCTGTCACTCCTCTAAATACAGAAGACAATTTTTCTATTTTTTTTCTATTAAATTTGGAGAGTAAAATGAACAGTTGCTAAAATTGCCAGGTTAAAATGTCAGGTACTAAAAATTGAACAGTAATTTCACTGGGAAAAACACTGTATTTTAAAATATGAATTTATTATGGAAAATTTCAAGCTACTGTATTAATTTATTAACCATGAAGCTGAAATCTCAAAAAAGAACTGTAAGAAAGAGAACTAGAAAACAAAATACACTAGGAAAAAATAGAAGCAGACAATTCAAGGGATAAATTTTTTAATAAGTAGAAATAAACTATCTGAGTCTGGAAGATACAATTAAAGTTAGATCTACTTACCACAATATTACATGACAGCTAATAAAGCATTAAATTGTAAGAGTAAGAAATAAAATGATACAGGAAAATACTGAATAGAATATTGGCCACAAACACATTTATACACTGCCAACTTACAAAACCAAAACACATTCATTAAAAAATAATGTTAAATTTTACTTAACCTGTAATAGAATGAAATGGGGAAATGTCATCATTTCTAAAGGCCTATATACATATCATGGACATTTACACAGGAAAATTATTTCTCAAAATCTGAATATCAAGTACAAGGAGCCCCTAAAAATGAAACCTCCTCGAGAGGCTTTGTTGACTCCTGCATCACCAGTTCTAAGAATAGCACAAGTAACAGCACTCAGTAAATGTTTGCTGAATGAAAGAATGAATACACTTGAACTCCTAGACACAGAAATTCATGTAATATATATTACAATTAACAATCTCCAAGTCTGCATTAATGTTTATCAACAGATGCCTAAGAAAGAAGGACAAAATACAAAGGAGTAAATAAATATCTCTCAAAGTGTTTTCCTGTTAACAGAGCAAAGAGTAAATAAACCAAGATTTTATTTTATGTGAAACTGTAAGTTACAATACACACGTGCTATAGGGTAAGAAATGCAAACTCACCTTCATCACTAATTGCTTAATGAACATCAACAAGAATGCTCGTAGGGAAAGTATTTCTTTTTGATTAGGTCGTGGCCCATCTTTTAAAAAAAAAAAAAAACACACACATACTGGGTATTTCAAAGACATCAAAGCTAATAAAATATTCATTCCCAATAGTTTTTCCACTTATTTACAAGAAACATAAAGGTCAGTCTCCTAAAGAGTTTTATGTCTCTAAAAAGACAAGCACTCAGTCTCACATGCAATTGTATATACTACGCTCTAAATGTACAAAATAGGTTATGTTGAAACTGCAATGAAGAAGTTTGTTTTTGAGGAAAGTCAAAGGAATTTCAAAACATGAGGCAATAAGTTAAATCTGTATTCCATAGTAACATGCATTTGCATTTTGTTTTAAAAGACTCTCTGAGAATGTTACTATGGTAACATAAGTAAAAAGAAAGAAATCTAAACTTTGTATGTGAATTTAGTATTTAAAAAACTTTTTTCTAGTGTTACCATTGTATAAGCAAACATAAAAACCTCAAAAAGTTTACCTCAACACAGTATCATTCATGAAGAAGGGAAACATTATGCTGACTACCTCTGACGAGTCTCCTCTTCTTGAAAAAGTCCTTGGTCACACATGGCTCACATTATAGTCAATTTTCATGTCTCAAACATGTAATTCCAAAGTAGAAAGTTTTTGAAACAAAACACCCATTGTTCTAAGATACTAATTTAGGTAATTGTTCACCTCATATTTTCTGCACTTTTCCCCCCACTAATCACTATATACAGCTAGTCCCTAGACCACCAAAGCATAGGACCACCATGACCTTGAACAGATCAATTAAAATAGGAAGAAAATCGTTTAAAATTTGTTCCATATGACAATTCCTAGACAAAGAACAGGTTAGAATTACAACAGAACCACAAAATTCATCCAGCTCTTTCACTGGAAGTATGAGACTTTCCCAAGGTCACTAATCAGTTATAAAAATCAAAGCAAGAATACAATACTAACACCCAGGACAGGACATGATACACCTACAGCACCATGAAATAATTACCGGGAAATTATGGCCTAACTAGATTGGCCACAACCTTGCCAGCTTAAACAGATCATTTACCTTCTGTGTGTCCTCACAGCTTTCTAAATCATACATAGCATATTCTCTGAGAATAAATCCAGTTTATTTTGAAAGGGATTAAAAAAAATAAGTAACGTACAGATACGAAACCTTGTCTTTGTGAGTCACTCAATGCCCAGAGCCTTTCAGTACAATCAGAATGTATTTGTTTGACTTTCTAGAATCTATTTCCTGATTTCAAGCAACAGCCCTCCATGTTTATAAAGGGACTGAACCTATCTTCACTCTCAGATCTTGTGTTACGGAGGTAAGAAGAGCCTCCATGCCTGGGTAATGTGAAGAATACCTGCCACACGGATGGACACATGATGCAACCTGAGCCAATGAGCAGCAAAGAGACGAAAAGGGACTTTTACTGGAAATGTCTGATGCAGGCAAATGCTCTTTTACTGGATTTAAAGTTGTGAGGATGTGAGAGGAGAGTAGCTGCTTGCTCCTACAAAGGGAGAGAATATATGAAAAGAGCCAACACAGCAGTGGGAAATGGAGAGAAACAAATTGGGTCCAAGGGCCATATTCAGAACTTCTGCACTAAGTTCTACTGAAACTGCCAGCTTATATGAGCTGATTAAATTCCGTTTATGATATAAGCCGGTTTGAAGCAGGTGTTGTAATACTTATAACCAAACCAGCCACCATTTGTCAAAATTTGTATTTTGATCCCTTCCGTGTACTACTGACATGACGAATGAATGTTACCCTTCCAGTAATTTAGTCCTGATTATATAGGAAAATAACTACTGAAACTGTGTAATCTCATTATATTATTTATTAGAAGCATACTCCTTACTCCTACAAAAAATCTCCATCTCCAAAAAAAAAGTTGTCAATGATTCTCATTGTGATAACTGGCCTCAGCATTGATACCAGTTGCTAATATAGCATTTCTTCTTATTCTCAATGTCTTAAAAATCATTGAAATCATATCTCCTCCCCAAACAACTCAAACTAGCAAAAGCAGCATTCTTCTATAAAAGCATCAAGCTATTAACCTCTGACAACCACAATTTAGAACAAACTACTAAAATTAAGGACAAACTATTAAAATTATCAACAAGATTAAAATAAAAGTTGCCACGATGAGATTTAGAAAAATTTTCAGAATAACGTAATTGTATTGCGAAGAAAGGGTAGGAAGGGAGGAAGGGAGGAAGGAAGGAAGGAAATCCTGACTTGCCATATGTAGAATGTAATACATAGATGCAGATGATATACCTAGTCCTTTTGGGGTGATACCACTCCGATCCTGAGGATTCACTGCCCAGTAGTAGTACTTCAGTGTGTGCATGATGAGAAGCACTGTTCCAACTCTCCGAATGGCATTATATATGTTGACTGTGCCAATGAATTCCGTGGACAGGTAAGTATAGAGAGTCAACTGAACCTAGAGAATCAAAATGAAGAGCTCAAATCAAAGGAGCAGACGAGCATTCTACCCGTTTCCACTGATACTCTCAGGCTGTTCTACTTGGATCGTACTTGTTCCAAAAAGTAAGATACTGACCTTGATAATAACATCTATGTAAACATATTCACAAGCACATATACTCCTTGTAAGATGAAACCAAGCAATTTCTTCTTTTACAGTAGCATTTTAAAGTAAAAAACCCCAATTACATCAAATTTTTGCAGCACTACTCCATGGAAAAAAATTGATTCCTATTTAGCAATCAGCAATTATTCACAAGCATGGATAATTTCTTTATAATAAACCTACTATTATGCTATGCATGGTTGTTTTAAAAAGCTAGAAATTGTCTTGTTTTATTAAAAAAATTAATAGCTGGAATAACTCAAAAGAAAGAAAAAAGAAGTGAGAGTAACTCAAAAGAAAAAAAGTAAGAATAGGTCAAAAGAAAGAAAATCATACAAAGACATATAAAGCCTACCTTAAAAAAATATTTATTAGAAAAACAGGATTCTGTTATAAGTTTATTACTACAAAGATTGTAACCACAACATTGTAGTCTCTAAAATTCACAAACAACTACACTCCAGTACTCATAATAGCACAAAATAAAGACCACTTTTGCTGTACTTCATATTAAAATCAGTAATTTTTCATTGCACTGCTAGTGCATGTACTTTTTAAACTAAACAATATTAAGTATTTCATTTTTAACCCTGAAAGATAAAAATGAGGTGCCTTCTTCCAGATGTCCTATAAACAATCAAGGCTAAAGGAGTTAGGGAGTCAATCAGGAACCATACATGGAAAAAGCTGGTGGATTCTGAACCACATAAAACTGAGGCTTAGAAGACGAGTGTAGTTTAGGAAACCATAAAAATGTTATGATCCATAGACTTGCTGAAAGATAATGTTAGTTTGATGTAGCTACTGCTGTTCAAATGGATAAAATCAGTTTGCTACTGAAGACATGTAAGGCTTTCTATGGCATGGTTCAAATTCTTCACCGTGCTAGTTCAGTCATTCAAACATATTTATATCTACCTATATGCGTAGCACTGTATAACTGGAAATAATAATGGTATAGACATTGCCCCTCAGTAGCTGAAAATCTAACTGAGAAGATAAAACATACACACAAGTTTAAGTGAAAAACCAAAGGTAATAAAGACACCTACTGAAATATAAGAAAGGTCATGTGGCAATACGTAATTAGTTGCAAAATGACTGCCACAGAGCTACTAAATATTATGAATTCAGAGGTCAGAGAAATCAATTTGGGATAAGTTAAAATAGTAAAGAAAAGGTTCACTAATAGAGCAGGTATTGAGACAGGCTTTGAAGATGCCCAGAAGAACAGGTTGACAGAACAAAAAAGGAAATTTCAAACAGGGAAAATGGTAGGTGATACAAAAGGTTACCCTAGATCTAGAACAACCATCCTCAATATTGACTGTGCAGTAAAACACCTAAAAAACATTTAAATACTGTTATCTGAGTCCTGTCCCAGACCAATTAAATCAGAATCTAGGGTGGAAAGAGTGGAATTCTGTTTTTGTTTCCCAAAAAGAGCCTCTCCCAACTAATTATATAGACATCCAACATTAAGAACTACCACTCTAGGATAACCTTTTGGTAACTCCCCAGCCATTGTGGATAAATAAGTTTTTCAGACTGGAAAGAAGAATTGGTATGAAGACTGAATGCAGTAAACAGTGAGAAGTCATTACAAGTTTGGGGGCTAAGAAATGATCTGATGAGAGTGATATATTCAAAACGTACTGGAATTCTAGACAGAAAGTGATAAACTAAAATACAAAAAACTGGAGAAAGTCACTCTATTGAGAATGATACTATATTAAAGAAAAGAATAGGATTTAGCAACAAATTGAGGTGAGTAAGAATGGAGACAAGATTATTCACATTCTAATTATGAATAAACCTTCCTTCATTCACTCTTTATATAATCTGATAACCACACAAATTACATGTTAACATCTGTCTTTCCCATTACACCTAAGTTTTATGAGGGCAGGAATTAGATCTGTCATGTTCACCACCGTATCCATAGTGCCCAGCAGAAAGTAGCAACTCAACAAATGAAAGACTACTCCCTACAAGAAAACTCATCTCTCTTGTTAGATCATTAAAAAGCCTGTCTCTGAGCAGACCAAAGATAAATGGATACCACAAATGACTGTGAGTATCCTTGTCCAAAGGCAGAGTTTGATTCATATATCCATACTCTTAACTTCAGTAACCAGAGGTGAATTTACCATGAAGTTAATGAAGCTTAAACTATATGCCTACCCATCTATACAGGTTCCTTCCATGACCCTAAAACGAATTTTGTATGCATTATTTTGTTTTCTTTTTCTTAAAAAGCCCCTTCCTCACCCAAACTGTGTGACCTTCAGATCAAACAAACTTTGGATCTGCCCTTTGTTATAACTACCCTCATAACAAAATTAGATAAACCCCCGTCATGGATACACAAAGCAGAAGGCTGAAACAAAAGTTAAGTTTAGTATTACCAAATCAATTGCAAATTCTAAAGAGGAAATTAAAGAAAATTATTAACAAGGAAAAGGTAAGAGATAGAGTGTAATAATACTAGGAACTTAAGGAAATGATATAATGAAAAATTTTATAAAGAGGCTTTTTGACCACATCAAAAGAGGTCCAAAGTCTTACAAATATGCTGCTTAGTAAGATAAAGAAGTGTTTAGTAAAAAGTTTAAAAAGTAACTTGAAACAATCCTTGAAAAGAAATAAGACTGAGGGTCACAGAAGAGAAAGAGGTCAAATTTGAACCTGGAGATAAAAAGCTACAACCTCCAGCTGCCTCCTTTGATTATTTCCAAATGGCAATCAGAGTCAGCAGCTGTTTTTCTCCTTAACATTTGAAAAGAGCAGCTGAAAATAAGAAACTATGACTCTAGAAAAGCAAAAAAAAGTCTGCAGACTTTTTTTATGACAACTAAAGTGCTATTCCAACTTCAACAATGATAAACACTTTCAAGTGAACCAAAAGGGAGAGGGGGAGAGAGGAAATTAATGGGTTTGAAATAACACAACCTCTAATAAAAACTGCAGATAAGACAGATACAATTATGCAATTTAATAAAAATTTGTTTCAAGTCCTGCTTAACACTGGTAATACTAAATTTTTAGGATAATTGAATACGACACTACAACATATCAAAGGTCTTATTTTATATTCTTTATCACAAATTCACTTATGTTCACATAAACCAACTGGTTTGTTGTTATTACTAAATACATTACTGTGTAAAATATAATTGTATTTAATAATTTGAATTAACGTGAAACTTAAATGAGACCAGTATATCATGGAAGGCTTCAAGAAAGAGTGACATTTCAGCTGCTCCTGTAAGAATTAAACTCAGGAGTTCATCATGTTGCTGGAAGGGATATGCGTGTAAAGAAGTGGGAGACAGAGCATGGTGAGTTAGAGAATGAAAAAACATAGCTTATGTGTGTATATATATATATACATATAGATATATGTATGTACATCTGCAATAGAACAAAGCAACAGTTGATAGGAATCATAGTTACATTTGAACTATTCAACTTTGATTTATATTTAACAAATCAAAGTCTCTTTCAAATAAAATCTGATTTGATTTAACAACAGAAAAGTAGAGCCATAGCTCTGTTTTTTAAAAATACTGATATTACTCTACAAGGGAAAGAAAGAAGGAAGGGAGGGAGGGAAGGAGGGAAATACCGACTTGCAAAAGTACACTTAGTCAAAAATGCAATCCACTTAAATCTTACAATAACAGCATGTAAAAGAATAAAAGAAAATCCTCATAATTATCACTCTTCTCAAGTTCAAAAATTTAGCGAAGACAGTAAAAACAAAATCAAGATATGTATTACCTTGGCGGGGGTATGAATCCAAATAGCTGGGTTAAGAAGAATGTGATCACACAACTGCTTGAGTAGGGGCATCCCATTGTGCAGATTACTCAGATATTTCGAAAATGCAAGGCAAAGTTCAAGTACTGCTCTGCTGACATGGGACTTGGAAGACTGAGAAAATATTTCAAAGGTCATTATCAACACAAGGCAAAGTAAGTAAATTAAAGGCTGTCGATACCAGAAAAAAAAACTGTTCCACAAACTATGGTCAAAGTTAAAGATGCCTTAAGATTCAATACCACACTTCTCTAATAAAGCAGTGGGGGCAAGGTAAAGTAACTAAAGGTTATCTTAATCTAGGTAATTTTCCATAACCAAGGAGACACACTTGCAGACAGAATTTCTCAGCTATTTAAGAGACCAAGTTTCATGGCCTGTAAATCAAGAATAAAAAATGTAAAGCATTTCATACTTTACCTTTTCAAGACTGTATCCTATTACCAAGAAGCCCTTGCAGGCAAGCATCTGCTCTTGCATAGCAATTGAGTTCTTCAACAACTCCATGATAAAAGCCAGCAAAGTTGAACTGGAATAAGAAAAAATATAATGGTTGGAAAAAAAAAAAACCTCTAAAAAAAAAAAGGTTAAGTAGATGCAGTCCTTCATTTATCTTAATAGAAAGAGTCCATTTCAAGGAAATTGAAGCTCTACTAAAACTGCCTCCAACATTATTTTAGGACTCAAATTCTAATGTAAGATTAGGATTTATTACTGAAATATTTATTTCATATACTTTATCACAAATACAGTAATAAGTGAATTACTTAGAAACAACATGACAAACAATAAACATGCAAAAAATAGAGAAAAATTAGCAATGTCTATAAACAAGTAATAAAATATTAATAAAAGTATATCATAGCCTTTCAGAATGGAAGTAACTTGGATGAGCAAGTAAATTCAAGTTTGGAGGGTTAGAGGACAAACAGAATGAAAAGATGCAGAGCAAACAGACTAGTGTAGAAATTCTCAAAATGTGTTAGGGCTCCAGACTGGACTAATTTGAATGGAGCAGAGGTTTCATAAAGGGAAAGATGAGAAAGTAAAGTTGTAGACAAACTGAAGCCTTCAGACACTAATTTAAGAATTTTGCTCATTATCCCAACAGAAAAAATTATAGTCAATATAGAAGACTTTAGAACTGAATAGGGGGAAGGGTATAGCTCAAGTGGTACAAGCACATGCTTAACATGCACAAGGTCCTGGGTTCAATTCCCAGTACTTCCTCTAAAATTAAATAAATAAACCTAATTACCTCCCCACTTCAAAATAAATAAATGAATAAAAATTTTTGAAACAACTGAATAGGAGTGATAGCCATTCTTCCATCAGCACAACTTTTACTCAAAATAGAATGGAATAAGGTGAGCTGTTAGCGTCCTTCTCAAAGAGAGACTCCCACAAAGAAAGGGAGAGCAGCCAACTTCCTCCGCAAAAGTGCTTTCAACCGTCAGCAATTTCAATGAAGATGTTAAAAAGTTTAAAAAAAAAAAGAATAACTAAGGAAAAAAAATAACTGAGCCCTGTTACAATGGTTTTAGATCAGGATAAAAAAAATTTTATGAAGTAGTAATATGTCAAGAATAATTTTAATTTTTTAAAATGCAGTCAATACTAGTTTCGATACACAATTCTTTTTCAAAAATCATTTTTTTGCCTAAAAATAACCTGAAAAAAATTATATCCTTAAATACATACATTGTATATGTCAAGTTATGCATAAAATTAGAAATTAAAAAGAATTTCAAAAAGGAAGAACAAAAAACATTAAAATTGCTCAAGTAATAAATGAAATATAATTACTATAGTTTCACTAGTATACACAGCTGTGAAAAATTTCAACATTCTCTTAAACATTTTATAACTTGCCCTGGAATTTATATGTCTCTCTTCTTTACACTCAACAGCAGACACAAAGGTGCTGAATGTACACTTTAAAAAAACACTAAATCACTCATAACTGCTCAAAAATTTTAGATTTTAATTAGTTGCTTGCAATCAATAACCATCAAAAGCTAAATTATTGTAATAAATCATTGCCAAATAACAATTCAAAATATTTTAAAAATACATTGTAGACAACTGAATTCATTTCTGATAAATTCATTATCACTATTCCCAACTTTATTCAAAAACTTTATTATGTTTTTAAAGCTTCCTACTGATAAAGAATTTAAATTAATTCTATTATTATTGAATTTTAATAATTATAGTTCACAAATTTCTTTATATTCTCTTTTAACCTTATAACAAATTTAATACACTGAATACTGTGCAGCTCGATGAAAATAATTCTCACATCAAATTAAAGATAAAACAGAATCACTCACCATATAGTCAAGTCAACCTCCTCAGATAAATATTGCCTATAATCCAACTGTGCAAAAAGTGGAAACAGCACTTGTACTCCTCCAATTGAATGCATGGCACTCTGGATGGAATGTGTTAAAACTGCCTTCACATCCTTATAAAATAGAAGACATGGTGAAGCATTCAATGATTCTTTTTCAAAACAAAACATAACAGGAACAATAAATGTTACATTGACTGTATTTACTAATAGAAGCTACCACATACACCTCAATAATACATCAAAATTCACCATTAAAGACATTCTTAAAAGTTAGTACCTGGAGCATGAGTGCATGCGGTGAATGAACAAAAATTGAAGGATTGTCCTTAGGGGATGATTCAAGGCAGAGCTGGGCATCTGTAGCACGTGGATTGTATGTGAATGCAATGGCACTAGAGAGTTTGCCATCATACAATAAAAGTTTGTGATGCTCAGCAAGGAACAGGTCACTTTCTGCTTTGAATTTAAATGTACCCTAAGAATTAATAAAAAGTGGAACAGTTAAGATTGTATGCCACAAAAAGAAAAGCTAAATGCAAATCACCACATATATAAAAATTTAGGGACACATAACATTGATCAGTCTTCTAACAATAGCAGTTAAGAGGAGCCCTGCATGCTTGATTACTTCTAAAATAGACTGAACTCATTTTAAAGATATAAGGGAAATCAAGTCAACCTAACATTAAAATCTTACATTAGAAAAAAATGTAGAACTTAATGTACCATATAAAGCATATTTTGTCTTTTTCATTCCTTTAATTGTGATAAAAAGCACATAAAATTTACCATCTTAAACATTTTTAAGTGTACAGTGGTGTTAACTACAGCACATTGTTGTATAACAAATCTCTAGAACTTTTACATCTTGCAAAATGGAAATTCTATACCCACTGAATAACATCTCAGCATTCTCCCATCCTCTGGTAACCATTATTCTATTTCCTGATTCTATGAATTTGACTACTTTATATAACTCATGTAAGGGGAATCACAGAAAATATGTCTTTTTGTGACTGGCATAACATCCTTAAAATTCACTCATGTTGTAGCATGTGTCAGGATTTCCCTCTTTTTTAAAGCTGAATAATATTCCATTGTAAATATGTACCACATTGTCTTTATTCACTCATCCAAACAATTAGGCTGCTTTAACCTCTTAGCTATTGTGAATGCTGCTGCAGTGAACATGAGTGTACATACAGCTCTTTCAGATGCTGCTTTCAAGTCTTTTATATATATATGTAGAAGTAAGATTACTCAATCATGTAGTAATTCTATTTTTAATTTCTTGAAGAATCACTATATTGTTTTCTGTAGGAGCTGCTCCATTTTAAATTCCCACCAACAGTGCATAAAGGTACTAGTTTCTCCACACTCTGGCCAACACTTCATATTTTCTGTGATTTTGTCTAACAATGGCCATCCTAATGGGTGTGAGGTAATTATCTACTGTGAGTCCAATTTACATTTCTCTGATGACTAATGATGTTTAGCATCTTTTCATATGCTTGTTGGCTGGCCACTTATATATCTTTGGGAAAATGTCTATTCAATCCTTTGCCCACTTTTTAAATGAGTTTTTTTTTTTGATGGTGTTGAGTTGTTGGGGTTCATCATATATTCTGGATATTAACCCTTTATCAGATAAATGGTTTGAAATATTTTCCCCCATTTCACGGGTTTCCTTTTCACACTATTCCGTGATGCACAGAAGTTTTGATGCACAAAAGATTTTAAGTTTGATGAAGTTCCATTTGTCTATTTGTGCCTTTGTTGCCTATTTTTGGGGGGTGTCATACCTAAGAAATCAGTGCCAAACTCAGTGTCATAAAGCTTCTTTTCTGTTTTCATGTAGGAGTTTAGGTCTTATGTTTAAGTATTTAATCCATTTTGAGCTAATTTTAATACATGGCATAAGGTAAGGATCCAACTTCATTCTTTCCCATGTGGGTATCCACTTTTTAAAACATGATGTGTTGAAGAGATTAATCTTTCCCCACTGCATGGTTTTGTATCCTTGTAGATCATTTCACCATAAATTAAAGGTTCATTTCTGGACTCCACTCTGTTCCATTATACTATGCATCTACCTTTATGCAAGCACCATAATGTTTTCATTGCTGTAGCTTTGTAATATGTCTTGAAATACTCAAGTGTGAGACTGCTAACATTGTTAATTTTTTTCAAAATTGTTCTGGCTATTTGAGAACCCTTGAGATCCATGAGAATCTTAGGACAGTTTTCCTATTTCTGCAAAAAAAGGTCATTGGGATATTGATAGAAATTGTATTGAATCTACACAGAACTTTGAGTAATATGCATTTTTAACAGTATTAAGTCTTTCAATCTGTAAACGTATCTTTCCATTTCTTTGTGTCTTCCTTAAGTTTTTCAGCAATGTTTTGTACTTTTTAGTGTACAAGTCTTATGCCTTTTTTGTTAAGGTATTCCTAAGTATTCCTCTTTTGCTATTATAAATAGGATTATTGTCTTATTTTCTTTACAGATTTTTCATTGTTAGTGTATAAAAATGCAACTTTTTGTTGTTGTGGATCTGTATCCTGTAACTTTGCTAAATTTGTTTACTAACAGTTTTTTGTGAAATATTTAGGGTTTTCTACATATATTATGTCATCTGTGAACAGAGATAATTTGACTATCCTTTCTAATGTGGATGCCTTTTATTCCTCTTTCTTGACTAACTGCTCTGGCCAGGACAGCCAGTGTTATGTTGTATAGAAGTGGTGAGAGTGGGCATTCTTGCCTTGTTCCTGATTTTGCAGAAAAAAAAAGATTTTAGTCTTTCACTGTTGCATATGATGTTAGGCTATGGGCTTTTCATACATGGCCTTGTAATTTTAAGGCAGTTCCTTTTTACATGTAATTTGTTGAGTGCTTTTATTATGAAAGGGTGTTGAATTTTATCAAATGCTTTCTCTGCATCTACTGAGATGATCATATAGTTTTTGTCCTCCACTCTGTTAATGTGATGTATCACATTGATTTATCTTCCTATCTTGAACCAGCCTTACATTCCAGAAATAAATCCCAGTTGTTCATAGAGTATAATCCTTTTAATGTGCTCTTGAATTTGGTTTGCTACTACACTGTTGAGGATTTCTGTATTAATATTAATCAGGGGTATTTATCTATAGCTTTCTTTCCTTGAAGCATCTTCATTTGGCTCTGTTTTCACAGCAATGCTGGCCTCATAAAATGAGTTTGGAAGTGTTCCCTCCTCTTTATTTTTTGAACGAGTTGAGGAGGATTGGTGTTAACTCTTTAACGTTTGACAGAGTTCTCCAGTGAAGCCATCTAGTCTTGGGCTTTTCATTATTCAGAGGTTTTGATTACTGTTTCAATTTCCTTACTAGCTATAGTCTATCTAGATTTTTCTGTCTTCAGTAGTGGTGGCTTGTATGTTTCTAGGAATATCTACTTCTTCTAGGTTATGCAATTTGCTGGCATGTAACTGTTCACAGTAGTCTCTTACAATTCTTTTTATATTCATGGCATTCATTATATTCAAGAGTAATGCCTACTCTTATATTTCTACTTTTAATTACTTAAGTCCTCTCTTTTTTTCTTAATTACCCTAAGAATTTGTCTGTTTCGTTGTTCCTCTAAAAAAAAACTCAGTTTTGCTGATTTTTTCTTGTCTTTTTTTAATATCTAATTCACTTATTTCTGCTGTAACCTTTTATCACTTCCATTCCTCTGCTAACTGTGGATTTAGTTTACTCTTCTTTTTCTAGTTCCTTGAGGCGTAGACTTAATTTATTGATTTTTAGATCCTTCTTTTTTCTATAGTAGGCATTTATCACTATGAACTTTCCTCTTAGTACTGCTTTCTCTGAATCCCGTAAGTTCTGGTATGTCGTTTTAGAGTTCATTTGTCTCAAGATATTTTCTAATTTCCCTTGTGAATTCTTCTTTGATCCAATAGTTTTTTAAGAATATGTTGTTTAATTTCCATATAGTTGTGTATTTTCCAGTTTCCTTTTGTTACTGATTTCATTCCATTGTTGTGAGGGAAAAAATACCTGGTATGAGTTCAGTATTATTAAATTTGTTAAGACTTGTTATGTGGTAATATGTGGTCTATCCTAAAGAAGGTTCCATGTGAGCTTGAGAAGAATGTGTACTCTATTGTTGCTGGGTGAGATGTTCTTATACGTCTGTTAGGTGCAATGGATCTATATTGTTGTTTAAGATCTCTGCTTACTGATCTTCTGTCTGGTTGTTCTGTCCACTATTGAAAGTAGCATATTGAAGTATGCTACTATTATTGTGTTTCTGCATAATTTTTCCTTCAATTCTGTCAATATCTACTTAATATATCTGGGAGCTCTGATGTTAGGGGTGTGTGTGTGTGTGTGTGTGTGTGTATATATATATATATATATATATATATATATATATATATATATATATAGTTTGTTTGTTTGTTTGTTTTTGGAAAATTATGTTTTAATGGGTGGATTTTCTGAGAACTTCAAGCTCAGGAGACAGCCTCTCAGACAGCTTTAAGGGACTGCTCCAGGTGTATATTTTGTTTTATCTTCTTTGTGAACTGACACTTTTATCATTATATACTTTACTTCTTTTATCTCTTACAAACAGTTTTTGACTTAAATCCTATTGTTTTCTAACATAAGTACAGCTACTTCTGCTCTCGTTTGGTTATCATTTGCACTATCTTTTTCCATCCTTTCACTTTAAGCCTATATATGTCCTCAGTGCATGTCTCCTAGGCAAAACAGAGTTGGTACTTGTTTTTTAATCCATTCATCCAATCTATTTCTTTTGCATTGGAAGTTTAATCCATTCACATTTAAAATAATTATTGAAAGAGTTACTATTGAAAGGGAAAGATTTACTATTGTCATTTTGTTCATTGTGACTTGTTAACTACTTTCCTTTGTATTTAATTGCTTTCATCCCTTTATATGCTATTTATATGTTTTGATCCCTTTCTCTTTATATTTCATTTAACTTCTGTAAGTATTTTCTCTGTGGTTATGCTGGAAATTATATAATTAGTTGCAACATTCTAAACTGGTAACAACTTTAACCACAAACCAAAAACTTCGTTCTTTTATATCTCCACCACCCTACTTTACATTATTGATGTCAAAAATTTTATCTTTTATATTGTATACCCATTAACATAGATTAAGAAAATTTTTTGCTTGTCTCCAAAATTAAGTGATTTATGTACCAACATTACAGTACTACAGAATTCTATATTTGTCTACATATTTACATAGCTCTTTTAAATTATATTTCTAAGAAATCACAGGCAAGGGTTTTTTTTTTTAATTAACTGTAGCCACTTAAAAGTATAAGAAATGTCTTTTTGAACAATTGTGAATTCTGATTCAGTATTTGTTTGAGTCCAGAAAATTAATTTGTGGCAGAGCAGAGACTGGAAACAAGTTCAATCAAAAATAATAATTTACTCTTTGTACA